TGTATCCTGCATATTCTGTGTATCCCGACGGTATCCGGGATAGACGGAATCCGCCTTTTCCCCCGTCACAGACCGTTACAGACAGATGATTCCACCATCACAGACCGTTACAGACAGATGATTCCGCCATCACAGACCGTTACAGACAGGTGATTCCCCCATCACAGACCGTTACAGACAGGCCCGGGACCCATCACAGATCGTTACAGACAGGCCCGGGACCCATCACAGACCGTTACAGACAGGCCCGGGACCCATCACAGACCGTTACAGACAGGTCCGGGACCCATCACAGACCGTTACAGACAGGTCCGGGACTAAGGGGGAAAAGGCGGATTCCGTCTATCCCGGATACCGTCGGGATACACAGAATATGCAGGATACATTGGGGATACATAGGATACATTGGAGATACATAGGATACATTGGGGATATACAGGATACGAGGAGGATATATAGAGGATTCAGAGGAAATAATATGATACAATGCAGAAAATATGAAATGAATACGATATATTCAAGGAGGATGCTGACTACTTAGTTCTGATAAAGAAATCTTATCAATCACAAATAGTTTGGAATGCTAATTGCCGCTTATCTCTACCCTGAATACATTGTTTTATGTGACGTGATGAATTTATATTTAGAATAATATTAACATAAGTTGCTAAGTATCTAACGGTTCATTTCTCTCACGTCCATTACATGTGTATGCCAAACGGTCGGCCGAATTAAATGATACAGAATGAGAAAAATAATAAATTTCTGTTTCTCGTGTTCATTTACAACTTTTTTTTAAATTCGGTATTATTATACACAAGTTCTTCGTCTTTACTTCACGTCGTCATTTTTCTGTGTCTTGATATTTAGAATTTTCTTCCACAATGGCACAACCCACATGGAACATGGATCTTACTATTCTTCCTGATGATGTACTATCATTATATGGTGAACCGTTTTACGAACTAGTTCGTAAATTAGCTGGTCCAGGAGAGGCAAAATTACTTGAGGCAGAAGGTATTCGAAGTGCCTATTCATTGATCAATACCGAGGATATTTTTGATATATTAAATTATCCATGTAAAACATTGAATGACGTGAAAACAAGTATATGTCTATTATTGGATGATAATCGATATATTATTAAAGCTGGTTGTAAAATTAATTTACAATATCTCATTCAATTATTTACTTTAAAAAATCAAGAACATTTGAAAACAATGGGAACCCGAATGAAATCAAAGAAGTCGAATGATAATGGTATTAGTAATACTTTTTCAACCCAATCGCCAGCACAAGTTCTTCCACTCTCTTCATTATCATCACAACAAACAACAACAGCATTAACACTAACAGGTTAGGGCTTGAAATAATTTGTTGAAATATCAGTTGTCGTGATTTATTACCACAGATTTTAAATAGTTGATATTTTAAAAACTTCAAAGCATAGCTTTTTTAAGCAAAAGATCAAAAACAATCTTTATGTTTATTTTATGTGCTTTTTTTCTAATAGAAGGGGTGTGGGTGTCTGTCTTTGGTTAACAACCATACCAACACCCACAATCATACTCACCCCACATCCACACCGACACCCACACCCCTTCTATTAGAAAAAAAGCACATAAAAT